TCCCACCGTGGTCAAGCTAACTTTTCAGCTTGCCCGTTGTGGATGCACACTCAGAGTAACATCACAAACATATCATATTCACCTGAGAGCATAACACACCAACACAGAAATCATATGTGATTTGCTTAATTCCGAATCAAATGTATGAATAAGCAGTATATAAACATGAGATTATTTCAACCTAGCACATTGCGTTGGTTTCTTCATCTTGGAGATCGTTTCATTATTTATGGCTTCATCGCAGCCTCGTATATGCCATGGTAGGTCTTTTTGCTAAATTTTGCACCAACTTTTTCGCGGTGAATTTTTCGCTGACCAATCACACTGGCAAGATTTGTTTTTTGTTTCGCGCAAACAAATTCGCCTAGTGCAAAATGGGGTTACATGTTCATGTCACGCAGTCGCGAAATATAAGTGGTTAGAGATGGGGATTGGATTAGGTTTCGTGATTGTGTGACATGAAAAGATAACCTAAAATGGGCTTAACTGGTACGCCAGTGAATATTGCCATGTGTATGTTTTACTGTTTTGAATACATTGGGCTTGGAAAAGTCATGTATGAACTACCAACAAAATGTAGGTACGCAAATAGCAAGAGTTCCGCGTACCCATGTATACATGACTGAAAACAAAGATTGGCGTATAATATTGGCATACCTCCGGTGTACGTAAGAACGCGAATTATCGCGCTCTCTGTACTGTATTTATAGATGAATAAGGTTTTTGTTGTTTTAATGCTATATAGGTTATTATTACAAGATGTTGGATATGTTGGCGAAGCTGTCACCTGGTTGTTGTGGTCCGCGGCTGTTCTAGGAACGATATACACTTTCGTCTTTTACGAGAAGTAAGACATTACTTTGAAACTTATCACGTCGTCAGCAAAAGTGATGCTGACAAAGTCGAGAAAAATTTGTTTTGCAGAACACATTATACTGGTGGAAAACAGCCTTAAGTTTTTCATTTATGTACAATAGTATTATTATAGCTACTGTCAAGGGTCCTTGTTGGAAACATGGAAGCTAGCCTAGCTTTATAATTAAACTATATAGATCCAGATATCATAGATACAAAAATAACTGACTGCATTTGTTTCAAAAACATGAAAAGTAAGACAATAAATATACTAAATATACAGTTTCATGTTGAAATAAAAGTTCTTTTATTCATTTGCAGATACAAGGTGATTGAAATTATACTGTATCTTGTTATTGGTATTTGTCCTTCATTCTCCCTCTTTTTCGCTGTAAGTATAAGTGGAATTTCAATTGCATTAGAACCGTAATATGTAGGGTTTAGTCAACTATCCTATTTCATTTACGTTTAATAACGTTTAATATATACTGACAATTGATTTTGATTTTTATGACAAATCAGAAATGTCAAAACCATGAATCAGAAATCCCAGGTCATTCAGCAAATTTGTGCAGTGGCTTCCGTTTCAGCATGATCTGGTAGGGGAGGGGGGTGGCTCTGGCAGCACTGGTGCCGAGTTGTGTCGGTCATGCGTGCCGCTCGCCCATCAACTTGCTTGACTACTGCAAAGTCTTGCTTGACTACTGCATTTGAATTGTTATATCAAATCATGTTTTGAGATCGACAATTAGCTGTACAACGTTAGGATTATTTGTGCATTAAAATTGAAATGTATGAGTTACCAACTTAGCTTTCGACCAGTTGTAGAATGTACCTTAAAATGCGATTTGAGGTTTCCCTTGTTAGGCCTGGTTCACACTGGAAATTCTGTCGGCGGTGTTTCTCCTCCTGGTAAATGTGATCGAATGAATGAGATGCAAAAGACTTAGAATTGTTCACTTCTGAAAAGCGACTCTACACTTTTGTATGCGAGTTCACTCATTTACATCCGTCAGATACAAAAAATCGCCGACAAAATAGCTGGTGTGAACCAGGATTTAAGCTCTCCATATTATCTTTTCATTTCTAGCGTGAGTCAAAGGCTGTGAAAGAGTTGGCATTGGGTGGCGCATTCTATGTTCTGGGTGTACCCTTGTTCAAATGTGACGGACGCATTCCTTTTGCGCATGCGTTATGGCATCTCTTTGTCGTCTGTGGAGCAGCATGCCATTTTTACGCAGTCCTAACATATTTATATACGTAGTCAGTGGAAGGGAGGATCATAGGGTGGGGTGAGGACAATGCTGGACATCCCTCCCCCCCCCCCAAAAAAAAAAAAAAAAAAAAAAAAAAAAAAAAAAAAAAAAAAAAAAAATAA